TGGACGGTGTACATAGTCATTAAAACAAAAATACAGAAGCAAAATTATTGATTGTTGAATAAGAAACAGTAGCCTGATTCATATATAAGGTAGATCAGAATATGGTTTGTTGTTGCAGTAAGGGGGCTTTACTGCAGGGGTTAGCAACTTTTAGCATTCTTATCATATTCTACTTCTTCCAGGATTCAGAGAAAGCCAACCAACCAACCAACCAACCAACCAACCAACCAACCAACCAAGAACCTCCCTCCCTCTCTCTCTCCCTTTCTTGCCTTCTTGCTCCCCTGCCTGCCTTCCATGCACACTGTTATCCCAATTTAGTATTAGTTTAAATTATGTTATTAGGTGGAATAAAATCCTACAGGTAGTCCTTGTGTTACTATAGCAATTGGGACCAAATTTCTGTCATTAAGCGATGCGGTTGTAAAGCACGATGTCACACAACTGCATTGCTTAGTGATGGCAATCCTTGGTAGTCCTGGTTGGTGTCATTACCCAGAGACTGCATGGGCTGTTAAGAGAGGACCTCACATGATCAGAGTCCTAGGCAAAGAGGCCAGCGTGTGAGAGCTGTAGGAAGGTACCCACAGCTGGAGTGCTGCAGCTGGGCACTACTGATGCAGGGAGGACGGTGGGGGCTGCAGGAAGGCTGGCAGGGGCTGTGGGTGGGCACTACTGAGTGTGGGCAGGCCAGTGGAGGCCACTATGGAGTGCAGGTGCACAGGGGGGTGGTACAAGTACAAAATCCCTGAGATCCCTGGGCTCTTGTACTCCATAGCAGAGGTCCTTGGGAGAAAGTGATGGGAGCAACTTACAGGAGTGACTTGTGACCTCTTCTACCAGCTTCCCCACTGACTTTGCTTGTGGGAAATTGTCAGGGAAGGCCGCAAATGGCAATCACATAACTGTGGCTCACCCAGATCATGATCATGTGACTGTGGGGACGCTGTGACAGCTGCAACTATGCAGATTGGTCGTAAGTCCCCTTGTTCAGCACTGTCGCAACTTTGAATGGTTGCTGAATGAGTTCTCGTAACCCAAGGACCACCTCTACTTTGTTGTTTATTCATTGGTATTACATTGCAGAGAAAAATTAGAAGTAGCAAAAGATGGTTCCTTGGATCACTTTCTAGTCATATTATATAAAGCTGTAATTTTAATCTGCACAATGCAATAAATAGCCTATAATTCTGTCAGAAGCAATTGAAGAGAGGACCCCATTACACATGTTTAAAGACACAAGGAAATGTTTGTTTCAAAGATTTATCCAAACACCCCCCCCCCCCCCCCCCAAACCC